TGGGGTGGGGGTGGGGTGGCCTGATGGGCAAGGGGGCTGGGCCCATCTCTGTCTTGTGGCTATTCTGTGTTTTTGCCATGTTCTCCCGGAAGCCAACCTTTTCATGTCTCCTACAGAGCCAAACTGATGGCTTTGGTTGAGAGGGGTCACCCCCATGGTTGGAGTCACTTAGTGACCTCTCCTTGGGTTACTCTCCAGCCTCATGAGTCCACAGTGCTAACTGGAGCTGAGTCTGCGGGCTGCAAGCCCAGTGAGCAAAGAGTGCCTGCTGTTTGCCAAGGCAAGCAGACCAGTGTGAAGGCAACAGCCAGGCGAGTCTTTGACCAGCCTGTGACATGAGAATTCTAAGCTACCAGAAAACCACCTGGGGCTCTGTCAGGATCCTTTCAAAATATGAGGAGGGGGAAACTTGTATTTTAAAAGCTTATCAGCCCCACCCATGAGGACAATAAACATGACTGGAGAGAAAGCCCTTCTTGTCTTTGGAGCACAGATTGACCTTTGGTGGCAGGAACTTGAGGGACCTGAATCATCCTGGAGTTGGAATCCAGAGTTGATGGGCCACAGGATAGGGGGTGGAAGAAGAATGAGCGGGAGGAGGAAACAGAGAGAGGAACCCCAAAGTTGGTTGGGTTGGGGGAGCCCAGAGGATGAATGTCCAGCATAAAATTTGAGACTGCTTTCAGTGCTACATGGGAACTTCTCCTGCCTTTAAGAATGTATTAAGTCTACTACACAAAAATGTCAGGTTGAATGGACTGACATTATTTTTTAAATGATACAGTCTCATAATCAAAATTTAAAACTTTTGTTCTTTAGCCCTGACCGGCATGGCTCAGTGGTTAGAGCGGCGGCCTGCGCACCGGAGGGTCGTGGGGTCGATTCCTGGTCAAGGGCACATACCTGGATTGCAGGTTCAATCCCAGGCCCTAGTAGGGGTGCGTGCGGGAGGCAACCAGTCCCTGTATCTCTCTCACATCGATGTTTTTCTCTCTCTCCTTCCTTCCACTCGCTCTAAAAAAAATCAATGGAAAAAATATCCTTGTATGAGGATGAACAAAACAACAACAAAACACACACACACACAACTTTTGTTCTTCAAAGGACACTATCAAAAAGTAACAAGAGCCCGGTCGGGTGTGGCTCAGCAGTTGAGCGTCGACCTAGGCGATCGGGGTTCGATTCCGGGTCAGGGCACATGCCCGGGTTGCGGGCTCGATTCCCACTCGGGGGCGTGCAGGAGGCAGCCATTCAATGACTCTCTCATCACTGAAGTTTCTATCTTTCTCTCCCTCTCTCTGAAATCAATAAAGATATATTAAAAAAAAAAAAGAAACAAGATAACCCACAGAATGGGAAAAAATATTTGCAAATGATATATTTGATAAGGAACTCATATCTAGAATATATAAACTACTCTTACAACTTAATAATAAAAGGACAAATAGCCCAACTTTAAAATGGGCAAAGGATAGCACATACATTTCTTTAAGGAATGTACACACACACACACAAATGGCCAATAAGCACATGAAAAGATGTTCAACATCAATTAGTCATTGGGAAAATGCAAATCAAAACCGTAATGGGATACCATGTCACACCTACTAGATGCCTAGAATAAAAAAGGCATAATAGTGTTGATGAGGATGTGGAGAAGTTGGAACTTTCCTACATTTCTGCTGGGAATGTAAAATGGTTGGAAAAAACATAGTTACCATATGACACAGCAATTCCACACCTAGGCGTATACTCAAGAGAAAAAACGTAACCACACAGATATTTGTACATGAATGTTCATAACAATGTTATGAGGTGGAAACAACCCAAATGTCTATCAATAGATGAATGGATAAACAAAACGCAGTCTTATCCGTACCGTGAAATATTCTTCAGCCATGAAAAGGAATGAAGCATGGACACTTGCTGCAAACTGGATGAACCTTGAATGTATTACACTAAGTGAAAGAAATCTGGCACTGCCCGGCCAGGCGTGGCTCAGCGGTTGAGCATCGACCTAGGATACAGGAGATCGGGGTTCGGTTCCCGGTCAGGGCACATGCCCGGGCTGCAGGCTCCATCCCCAATGACTCTCATTGATGTTTCTGTCTGTCTCTCTCCCTCTCCTTTCCTCTCTCTGAAACCAATAAAGATATATTTTAAAAAATAATAAAAATAATAAAAAAAGAAAGAAATCTGACACAGAAAGGTGACATATAGTATGATTCCACTTACCTGAAATGTCCAGAATAGGCAAATCTATAGACAAAAAGAAAATTAGTGGTTGCCTAGGTCTGGTGGGGAGGGGGATGTGGGGATTTGGGGATGGTGGCTAAGGAGTGCAGAATTTCTTTTTGAGGATGAAAATGCTCTGAAATTAATTGTGATGGTTGAACAGTTCTGCGTATTGAATTGTACACTTTACTGGGTGAATTGTATTGTCTGTGGATTATATCTTACTAGCCATATTAAAGAGTGGTACAGTGGCTTGGCCAGTGTGGCCCAGTTGGATGAGCGTCATCCCATGCAGCAAGAGGTCGCTGGCTCGATTTCTGGTCAGTGCACATGCCTGGGTTCCCGGCTCAGTCCTGGTGGGAGGTGTGCAGGGGGCAGCCAACTTATGTATCTTTCTCATCAATGTTTCTCTCCCTCTCCCTTCCTCTCTCTCTCAAAAATCAATAAAAATATACTTTTAAATAGTGGTACAGTGCACAATGAAACACAAAATGTCTTCAGATGGTGGCTTTTGTGAGACAGTCATGGAGGGGATGAGTGTTAGGGTGGATCAGGAGGCCAGGTTTCTGGAGATAAAGCCCAGAAATGATACTGGTACCTGAAGCAGGAACAGCTCCCTTCTCTTCCACCCTGGAATTCAAAGACAGCTCAAGGAAGGATCTGCACTTCCTAGGTGTGGAAAGGGGGTTTCAGACAATTGAATGGGTTCCTAAGGGACAGGGAGACGTCACCTGAGGTCCAGTTAACCCAAGTGAGACTTTTACCAAGGAAGTGTAATTGTAGTTCTGTCCCTATGCAGCTCATAGGAGTGGCCTCTCAGGAGCCCAGGCTCCCTTTGAGGATGTTTGGGGTTGAACTGTGTTCCCCCACAAGCTGAAGTCCTAACCCCTAGTACTTCAGAATATCACCTTAATAGGAGACAGGGCCTTTATGGAGGGAATCTAGTTACATGAGGTCATTAGGGTAGGCCCTAATCCAATATAACCAGTGTCCTCATAAAGGTGGGAGGTTAGGAGGCAGACATGTATACAGGGAAAATGCCATGTGAACATGAAGACAGCCATCTACAAGCCTAGGGTTGAGGCCTCCTTCGCAGCCTCAGAAGGAACTAACTCTGCCAACAGCTTGATTTAGACTTCTAGCCTCCAGAAGTGTAAGAAAATCAATTTGTGTTGTCTAGAAACCGAGTCTGTGGTACTTTGTTCTGGCAGCCCTGGGGCACTAAGAGGGCAAGACCATGGCTGTGCTGAGCTGTGTGGGGCTTTGGTCCAGAGCTGAGAAGTGGGCAAGGCTTTGTGGGACAAAGCCACCTAGGAGTCTTGCAGGTCCTGTGACGTCTTGAGCCTGGAGCTGCCATAGAACCTTCTTTGGACATTGGAGCTGGGGTACACTCTGTTTTCAAGGGACCTGGCAGACATTCCCCTGTACCTTGAACCCCCAACTGGGTGACTTTATTCTGGAAGTTCTGGAAAATGCTCCAACCTGCTTTCCCAGTCTGAACTTTCCCTTGCCCCTCCTCTGTCTCAGGCTATGGGAAGATGGGGAAGAGGCCCATTCCTGGTCTCAGAGATTCCTTGGTTCAGAGAGTGGAGGACCCATGGTCAGAGTTTAGGGACATGCCCTCTGCTTCCAGAGCCCTTAGATGGCTCTCTTCCAGTCTTTCCTCCTGAATGTCCCTCTGTCTCTATTTCTTTCTCATCTCCCCCTCCCCCTTTAGGGCGGGCTCTCTCCAGGGCGGGCTCCCTCCCCTGGGCGGGCTCCCTCCCCAAGGCCCGCCTCTGCTGCTCTGAAATCAGCTGACTTCTTTCTGCTGCAGAAACCTAAGCAGGGTTCTATTCTGGGAGGGTGTGGGAGCAGGTGTTTGGCTCAGTGGGAGACTTTCTAGAAGTTTTAAAAAAGGCTGCTGCTCTGAAACATTCCTCATACCTGCTCTTCCCCATCAGGCCACAGCCCTCTGAACCCTGAGCAGCCATGGGCAAGAGCAAGGTAAGAGCAAATGATGGGGGACGGTAGGCCCTGGATCCCCATTTCCCACTGCGTGTTCGCCTCTGCCACCAGTGCAGCCCCACGCCGGCTGATCTCTCTACATTCACCTGACTCTGTTCCATCTTCCCTGGGTCATGGGGAGACCCCTGGAAGCAGGGGTGTCATGAGAATGTGACCTGTTGGGTCGTCAAAATGGCCCGAAGCCTGGTTGGTTGAACGCTATGCTGGCACCATACTAAACTTCTGAATAATTATTGACAAAAGGCCCCACGGTTTCATTTTGCGCTCAGCTTTTCACTTCATGTGGCAGGTTCTGATTGTGGGGCCAGAACTCCTGTCTGGGAGAGAAATTATGGGGGCAGCTCTGTGTGTGTGAGAAGAGGGGTGCGTGCGTATGTGTGTGTGAGGGGCACTGAGAAACAATGAGTGTCATGGGACAAGGTGTTACTTTAACAATTAGACCTGATGTATTTGTGGGAGGAGCTGGAGAATGGAGGGTCCGTGGGTTGTAAGAAACACCAGTCCCAGTAGACCCTTTATACCCTAATGCCCTGGAGGTGGGCAGTGCCATCCTGGGAGCTTAAAAGTCCTCTCAGCAGCCCAGTCCTGGCATTGGCGTCAATGTCTATTCCTCCTTTTCAGGGTGCCTTCCCACCTCCCACACCCTACCACCCCCATCGCCACCCTGCATGCTAGCCGCCAGGTTGAGCTGATGCGCCAGGGTGCTTTGGGACTCGTGACAATGGGATCGTGGAATGATCCCTGAGGAATAAAATGATCCAGGGCTCAGTGACCAGATTGGGGTCATAAGGTGGAGACTTGTGAGGGAGTCTATGGGGTACCCCCTGCCTTGCTGGTTGAGCCAAGGGTTGGGGGGTGGGAAAGGGCATGGGGTGCTGTGGGCCTGCAAGGTCAGCAGTCAGGAAGAGCAGCTGGATGTAGGCACCGCTGGGTCTGTCGCCACCCCAGAAAGGGATGGTCACTGCCAATTCCTCCCTTAGCCAACTCTCACCCTTACTATGGAGGGTTGAGTATCTGGGAACCAAGTTGCCCTGAACACTCCAGAGCTATGTTCATACTTGTGTGTGTGTGTGTCATGGTGAGTGTGAGTGTGAGTGTGTGTGTACAGTAGGTCTGGGGGTTGGAAAGTCATATAAGACCAATGTCACTGTTACCTCCACAGACATTCCAAGAAGAAATAAATAAAGCGAGGGATGAAACGGTAAGACGCTCTTCCCCATGTATGGGTGGGAGGGGTCCGTGGGGGTCTGGGCTTTACTGTGGGAGGCTGAGCATGTCCTGGCCTCCTGAGGTCCAGGAGGGAGAAGGATCAGGTCTCTCTGCCTCAACTTACCTCTTTTTACAGCACATGGCTTTAGACAATTTCTGGGATAATCTCCAAGGCAGTGAAGAAGACCAGGTGGGTCAGTGTTCCCATTCCCGTGCTCTGCACAATTTGGGTGGGCTGGTTTCACAACGATGACGATGATGATGATGACAATGATGATGATGATGGTGATGACTATGAAGGTGCTACCTCAGGTTGGTTCATTCCTTACACTGGACAAAATTCCCCCCTGTGTGGCAGGTGAGTGCATAGGTGGGGAATACGAAGGCACTGGGAGCCTGAGGGAGGTGTCCAAGTGATAGGTATACTGCTGACAGAGCAGGTCCCCAGGCACATGGCTGGACCAGTTATGGGGGGACAGTGAGCTGAGAACGGGGGATAAGACTGAAAGTGAGGGAGGCAGGGGAAATTTAAACAAAGTCATTTTTTCCCAATAGGTCACCTTACACCTAGAAAAGCTGGAGGTGAGTTTTGACCTTGCCCCTCCCCCAAAGCTTAGTCCCCAGGTTTTTGGGGTGAGCTCTTGACTCCCATGGAGATCACAGTGGGGACTGCAGACCACAGGAGGCAGGAGCAGGTCTGCAGCCTCCCCACCCTTCTCTCCCCAGAACAACATCAGTGAGGCCTCGCTTAAGGCCCTATTTGCTCACTGTGAGAAAAACTGCCCGGTGAGTCTGAGGCACTTGTCAGCCCTGTGTGCTTCCTCTTCAGCCCTGCTCTCTCTTGCTTTTGGTTCTGCCATTTGTGTGCATAGCCTCCGAGTGGGGTGGGGTGGGGTGGGGGTGGAGGGATGACTGAGAGCTCAGGGGAGTGAGTGGCAGCCTCCCTGGCACCAGCCTCCCGGCCTCCCCACCCAGCACACGGTGGTGAAGCCCTGCCCTCAATTTCACGTATAATGATGAACCGCCCGGGCCTGGTGCTGGCCTCAGAGGCCAGTCAGCCAACAAACAGGTACAACTATCCTGGTTTGGCCCCGGAGGGGAACTGCAGGGCTGAACCTCTGCAAGAAGGCTCTGTGTCTGTGCAGCTGCTGGCAGGAAAGCAGGCAGTTCCCTGTGTGAGCTTCTGGCAGGACCCAGCTGGATCCTGAACATGCCCTATCCTCACAGGAATCCACTCCCTTGCTTCTGGAACAGCAGGAACTGCGTAAGAGAGTTAAAGGTGGAGACCGCCCTGGAAGTGAGGGTCCAGGTTTTACTGGACAGAACCCGGGCCCCGAGCAGGACTTCAAGCAGGAAGGCTCGCACAACATGAGCCCAGATGATTCTGAGAGTAAGTTTATTAAGCTGGGGACAGTGAAACAGGATGGGCTTAGGATAGAAGCAACAGGAGAGAGACTAGGCCAGGATGCACTGGTTCACCGGAAATTCAGAGAAAAGGGGACCTTGGAAAGAGGTTTGAGGGGGCCATCTGGGGACGAGCTGCTGCTGCCCATTGCTCCCCTAGTTGCAAGTCTCCTGGGGACCTTTAGAGTTCAGGAGATGCATGCCTGAAAGGGAAGAAAGGTGTTGGGCATGCTCCTGGGTCCTTTGTCCTGAGACTTTTAAAGGCTGGGAGTTTAGGGGAGGTCTTAGGGAAGGATCTCAGTAGACTATTCATCAGCTTTATGAAATTTATGCCCTTAACTTCATCTGTCCTTGGTTGTGGTTGGCACAGATGGCACTAATTGGATTTCTGCTGTCTGTTTCCCTGAGGAGGGTGATTTAAGCTATTTACTCCGTGTTTTGGGAAAAGTGTAAACCATTTATTCTTTTTTTTAAAAATTCTCACCTGAGGATGTTTTTATTGATTTCAGAGAGAGGAAGGGGATGGGGGTGGGGAAAGTGGAGAGAGAAACATCAATCAGTTGCCTCTCATATGCGGTTTGACCAGGGATTGAACCTGCAGCCTAGGTATGTGCCCTGACCGGAAATCGAACCCACAACCTGTGTTGGCGTTCGGAGCTATGCTCCAACCAACTGTGCCACCGGCCAGTGTTGAAAGACACTTAAGAAGGGAAGACAAGATTTTGCAGTTTACTAGATGGCCGTAGAGTGCTTGGTGGTTAACAATCTGTCTCAGGTTCCCTATTCCACTTGTCCCGGCTTACTAACCAGCCTGTCTCACAGGGGCCCGGAAGCCAGAGGAGAGCTTTTGTCAGTGGGTACTGAGATTGTTCAAATCGATGCTAAGGCGACTGCAGAAGACGTGGCAGGACGTGCTGGCCTGGGTGCAAGAGAAGTTGGCCCCCTTTCTCAGTGCAGTGAAGTCCATCTGGAGTCAGATTGAGAAATTCTGCAGCGATGTGATACAGAGCCTCTTGAGTTTCTTTGGGGCCTAAGAAGTCCCATGAAGTCCCGCAGGAGCTCAGCCACTCCTACCAGCTCTTTGATCCCTCCCTTCTTGGAAAGAATCTTCTGAAGTAGCTTTTGGCTTCCTGCTCACCCTAGACCTGTTCTTGGCCACCTCCCTCACTCCCTGTCCACATCCCCTCCAACCTGCCTGCCCTGGTTTTCTTCTGCGGGTCTGACCTGTCGCTCTTGCTTTGGCATTTTAATAAAAGTTGATTGAAACGAACTGAGTGCCTGTGGGAATGGGCAGCAGGGGGCTCAGTGGTTACAGGGAGGGGCTGCACATAGATGGTTCTAGGCTGGGATCTGGCTCTAGTCAGCAAGAAGCCACCTGACCTCTCTGTAAATAGGGCTCTGGTCACACTGGCCATGGACTTACGATGAGGACGTGAAGATTTCAGCCTGTGTAATGCTTACACATAGTAAGTGCTCAGTAGTTGCCCACTCCTGGGCAGCAAGGAGCTCAGGCCCGAGGGACTTTGGCCCCCTTTCCTTTTGCTGACCCCCTTCTTTGGGTCTTCATTGCTGGAACTGGACTGGGCCTCTGAAACTCCTTCATCTTTCTCCCAAGATCAAAGGCCTAGGGACTGGGACAGTGGTGGTGGTGGTAGGGGGCATGG